CACCCACAACCGGTCTCAGGCGGATCCAGGGGGAGGATGATGGGCCTTTGCCCCCCCCCCTCCTCTCTCTCCAGCGGTACAGATACCAGTGCTATAGAAGTATGGGTTTAAAGCTAAAACTGAACAAAACTTTCTTGCACACCTCCTCCTCCCGTTCCCTCCTCCCCGTCTAGGAAGCCGTCCTGAATTCACCTATGCAATCTATAGTATGTAACCGGTACCATATCATATGAAGCTCTGGATGGCTGGTTTTACTCACTTATATATACTGGCGGATCTGGGAGAAAGAGAGGAGGGAGGAGGTGGGACGAGGGGTCTTCCCCTCTCCCCAGGGGCTCAGGTAGCAATTGTTTTACTGTAGAAAATTCTGTTTATTGTAGAAAACCTTGTCGCTCTCCTCCTCTCTCCAGTCGTCGCCGTAGTTCAGGGTCGATAAACGGGACAAAGGGTGTGGGTAGCGGGATGCTCGAGCGGAGGAGGGGGTGTTGCAACGAAAGGAGGGAAGGCTGAGGAAGAATGTCTCCCACCCCCTCCCCCAGGAGACCGCCCAGGATCCGCCCGTGTTTATATACTTAGGCTCATACAAAAATTTAAAAAATTTACCCGTTTTTGTGATGTAACGCATTCGCTGTAGCATGCATTGAGTGAACTCTCGCGCGGGTAACTTGTAATATTGTGACGGTGGTGTTTTTCGGCATTTTGCCATTGAGGTCAGATCGAGGTATAAAGCATCCGGAGAAGTTGGCGAATCCAAGATAAGTCTATTGATTCGCTGTACCACTTCCGGCTAGAAATAAAGCCAAATTAAATGAAAACTGGCAAAAAAAAAAGACTTCAAGGCATCTCAAATTGCTTTTGCGGGAAAATACAGATGGGAAAAAGAACCTGCGAAAGAATCCAATTCATAACGTTCTCTCGATCAGTCAACTTCTTTGTCATCACAGCTTTTTGCAGTTTCGGTGTGATACGCATAATTTCCGTCATTACTGTCTCTTCAAAATGACCTGATCCGAGCTGCAAGAAAAACTTGAAATTTAAATTTAAATATTTTATGGTTATGAAAAAGGTTGCCATGTATTCTATTGCAAAGAAGAAGGTTAAAAAAATTACAAAGTATTCTACTCTCAAGACACAAATTTCCAAAAAAAAACTTGTCCGAATTAAAGAGCACTGAAAAAACAGATGCGAAACGAATGATTACCCCGGTATTGTCCAGTACAATACCATTCACAAGTACTTTTGGTGTGGAA